ATCCGAGACCTAGATTTGTTCTGAAATCTTCTTAAAGTCATACTAAACCTTTGAAATAAGGTACTGAAAAATTAACCAAAAGTGCAAATACCATGCTGTAAAATTAAAATGTGAATACAATTAATTTTGGTAAGACAGGTGAATAAAATATCTGGGATGTCTGACCTGGAGCAACATGAAGAGTTTCTACTACCTGTTTGGTGTAACGTGACAGAGTTAAAACGTCGAATGGGGTTATCTAATCACTTGCTGAAGACTGAAGGGAGGCTTGAGAAATGTAATAAAGTACAGTAATGCTTAATTACTAATTCACGCTGCATGGGTCTGTACTAGTTGACCCACTATTACAATAAAGCTCCACCTTCTCTGATGGAATCATCACCATTTGTCTGAAATGTCTGTCAAGAAAGAAACTGATTTAAGGAATGTAAGTCACATACACCACTGAATTGTATGCATCCTTCAAAATCTTGCTAGAGAAATGCTTTTAAAACAGAATTAATGATGCTATAGTTGGAGACTATGATATGGTAAGTCAGGCTATTTTCACAGTATGCAAACCTGTATAATTAATTCCAAAATGCTTCAGAATACTTACTCTTTTTAGGTTATGTAATTGTAATTTTAACATAAAGGTCTTCGTGGTAAAGCTGTAGCAAAGATAAATGGGATTCACACATAAAAACTGGTATTGATTGCACAAATTCAGATAATACTTCATAATAGCAAAATATGCAATACAGGGAGGGCACAATGATCAAGAATGGTAAAATATAGTTAAGGAATGCATTTTATCATGGCACCCACGAGGGGATATTGATTTAGTATTTTCAAACAACCGGGACACAATTGGCAAATCGTGTGGTGAGGGAATGCCTCAGGTGTGATCATAACATGGTTTGCTTTGACCTGAATTATTTTTTAAACCACACATGTAGATTTCACGCTACGGTTTACAGTGTTGGGAAAGCAGACTGGAAGGTGAAGCAGAATGTGTTTATATGTATGGACAGTAGACAACACCATCCATCCACTTTGTAATCAGTTACAGTATCCAACGCAGGGTCGCAGGGAGGCCAGAGCCCCTCTCAGCCAGCCAGTACTCAATTTAAGTATAGTTTGTGTTTCTTGCAGGAAAAGTGGCTTTAGAAACACATTTAGAAAGAGTAAGATCCAGCAAAAGACGAAAAGCGCACTGAACCGTGAGCACAATGTGAGAAGGATGGAAAATTTCTGAAATGGAGTCTAGAGCCCAGAGTTAAAGGTCTTTCTGTCCGCCAACAAAGAAACAGTGATTAGGTTGGTGATGGCAGAAAGATAGTAATGGAAAACTAGTAGAAGATGAAATGGAAATGTGAAGTGTATTAAATGAATATTTTGTTCAGATGTTTACAACATAAGAAACTGGAAACACGCCTGAGGCCAAAGGTCACACTTCTCAGTATTAAATAATCTTAGCATAACACAAGGCAAAGTGTTATAGGAAATTGGAGCACTTAAAATAATTAAATCTCCAGGGCCTGCCCACAGCCGTCCAGTTGTATTAAAAAAATGAGGACCCAGAGACCCATAAAATCCTCTTTTGACAGTCTTTGAAGACTTGGGTATTATCCACCAGCTTGAAAGCTGCAATTACAAGATTTAAGTTTACAGGAGTAAGTATTTCTATAATATGTAAAGTTATGGCCACTGGCAAAGCATATGCTATGATATTTAAGTATTTATTCATACATGAACTGTATAGCCTATAACCAAGTTTATATTTCAGTCAGGTTTGAGTTTGCAGTAAATTTATATGCTTAATGTAGCACATTCTTCATGATTCAAAGCAGATACAGTGCATTCTTATTTATATGGAAATTCTCACTCAAAATCTATGCAGTATACATGTTATTTTTTAACGTAACAATTTGCATATTAAGTTCCATCTTCTTGTCTGCTTCTCAGAGGTATCTGAAGGAATGTTGTGTCAATGCCTGAAACACTTTTACATTAGTGTCTAATGTAAACTCTCTGCAAACTGAAGAGTAAGAGATAAATTCCTTGTGAATTGGACCTGCAATGCTGTCAGAATGCTCTTCCCATATGTCTGGACCTTGAGGAGAAAATTCTCCTAGACAATTCTTTAACATTAGTATTGATGTATGTCTCTGGCTCCTCCACAACCCTGTATTGGCTGAAGCAGTTAGAAGATGGATGGATGCATGAAGTGTGTTCTCCTTCAAATCGTGTTCTGCACAGTAAGACTGGTACTAAAATGCTGGAAATAAACTCTACTCTAGTGGTCTAATCCAGACATCTATATTTATAAGACCTTATTGGCCTCCAGTTAAGGTGAGAGGAAACATTCTGTGGGATGAGAGATTTGTTCAAAAACAAGTAGTAATCTGTATGCATCCTGGTAATTTATTTTACCATCTGTAGATACTGTAGGACAAGAGAACAGTCAAGATAATAATTTCCCCCTTGAGTCTCTCATTTGTGTCTGTTAAAGATTACCCAGATTTATTTCATGGTTGTCACATGACTTCTAGGCCATTATTTATCCCATATCAGGGCATTTTATCTGAGAAGGAGAATGATACCTGAAATGACTAGAGAACATGCTTTACAACATGTGAAAAACTGGAACTACTAGCACATTAAACATTTGAGACTTATTTTTCCTGCCGCGCGTGAATTGTTTTGTTGTGGTGACTGCAGTGAGAGGCCTCTGGCAGTAGCCTTCCTGGCCTCAGACTCACTCTCTCCAGGGGCTTTCAGCCTGCAGTTGTTTGAAAGCAGAAGGTTTGATCTTGTTTAGAAGATTTCTTTCTCAATGACATAAGAAGGATACAAGTATTCATTTTATAACAGCTATGACTTCTACTATTCAAGAATACGGTTCTAAAACAGAATTGAAACTGGTTCACTTAAAGTGTAATAAAAATGCTGACACCCAAATGTATGTTTGCACAAAAACCTGCCTGTGATTTAGCTCTATTGTCTGTCTTGTCCCACTGTTTAAATGAAGTGAAAGATTTCATTGCATACATTTTTAAACATTTTGAAATCAAGTAAGACTGAAATTTTCCTGAATGATTTTTCCTTGCGGTTTTTACTGACATTTAACATTATTCAGACAATAAAAGTGTTCAGTATGAGCATTGCAGTTTTAATAAAAAGGGTCACTTTAAAAATAATGTGAATACTGTATTTGTAATTCAATAAAATAAGACATCATCGGAAGTGGGTCAATACTTTTTCAAAGGCACTCTATCACGTTTTAGATTTTTAGTTTTTTAGTATCACATTTTAATTCAACATACTGCTGTTCACCTTTAAGCTCTGAGTAGTTAATAAATCCAAGAACTCATTTTACTGAATGCTCACAGAGTTAAATAGCATCCTTAACTTAAATGGGATGTTTGCTTACATTTACAATCATTGTGCAAACATTCTTCTGTTTTCAGCCCTTAAATTAGATGGACTTTCTTACCTGAGGAGTAAATCAGCTTGACTGATTTATCAGTACTGGAATATAGCCCAGCTGCAGGACTTCCTCCAGTTTTCAACTGCTTTGAATGTCTCTTGCAGATCTCGAAACTTGAGAACCTCTCTCATCTGGCTGAGTTGCGTGTGTTGAACCTCGCTGGAAACTGCATTGCCTGTGTGGAGAACTTGAGGGGTCTGGACTCTCTGACTGAACTCAATCTGAGACGTAATTGTATCACGACCGTGGTGAGGGAACTCCTTTGTGTGATTTAATTTTCACTCTAAGCTTGCACATGGGAATGTAATAACACAACAACAGAAACACTTTTCACCCAGTATGTTCTCCTTACACTTCAGTTGCTGCTGGGCTGTGCATTTATTGTAAATACACATTGCAAAACATCTAAAAACTAGCAGTGTTTACTAAATATACATTTATTACACAGTTATACTCCGGTACTTACATTTCACTCATTTCACCAGCAAATATTTTGTTTGTAGCATATTTTTATCAAAGCTAGACAGTATTCACTACAGCACTTTTGAGATTCAGCACATGTTATAGTAGTAAACTGGTTGATTTGTTAGTACTTAGAAAGTACATGTGCTTAGAACCATTTGTTTAGAAACCTGAACAATCCAGGTATGGCAAGTGATAAGTTCTAGAAACTTGCAAACTACATTCGCAAAGCGTGCCATCTATAAAGATAGGCACTTGTAATAGAGATAATAATTGATACAGAGATAGTCTTTAACTTAATAATTGATACAGAGATAGTCTTTAACTTTAAGTCTTTAAGTCTTTAAAAGTAGGGTTGCTGCTTACAAGGTATTGCTCTTGTCCTCTCTGGACTAGGATGTCCAAGCCACTGCCCCAGTACGGTGACCAGAGACACTGTGCTGTTCTTCAGGTGAGAAGTCACTGAGTAAACTGAGGTCCTGACTTCTTGGTCATTAAAGATCCCCTGACACCGGTTATAAGAGTAGGGGATGAACCCTGGTGTTCTGGCTAAATTTCACTCTGGAGCTGCTCAATCCATCGTTCTTAAAATTCCCCCTCAATTGATCGGGTGAAGGGGTTTCTTACTTCTCTACCTGATCCACTGTGCAGTCATGCCAACCAGGTGGTGCTGTACTACAGTGGTGCATGAAGCTGGTCCTCTTCTGTATTTGAAGTGTCCTGGGATTCTTTGGACAAACACTACTGTACAAAAGGCAAGCAGTTACATTTTCATATAAAAACACTTATTTGTTTTAGAGACACTAGGTTGCCTAAAGTAACACAGGCAATCATAAGAAACATTTCAAGTGAGAGGAAGGCTTTTGGACCATCTAGCCTGCTCGGTAAAAAGAAAAAAAAAATGTTTCTAAGTCATCACAAGAGTGTTTGCTTTTTCTAGGAAACAGCAACAGCATTGAATTGTGCACTCTGCATTTCATGCTTATTTTGGCACTACACTATCGCTGCGAAACAAGACATTCATTAAAGCTTGCACCCATGATTAACACAATACAGGGCCACCTTTCAGAAAGGGAAATGATATCAAAAAACAACACATCTCTGCAGCCTAGTGCAGCTGTGAAAGGTAGAGGTTAAGGGCAGGAGTAAATAGAAATACGTGCCAATATACTGTATGTACATTGTACTCACAAAAACACACAAGAGAACATAAAAAGAGCCAGCCATCTCTTCCATTAAATTCAATTTGTAGATTAGAAACAATTTCATACAAAAAAATCATTTTTATGTTTTCTGGTATCCATCTCAGTTATTGAATCTTTTTGAGCAAATCTTATATCGTGATATACTTTGAATACCATATTGGAGTTAATAAAGTAGTTATTTTCTTGTGTTTTACATGTTAAAAAATGTTTCCTACTTCCCTACATTTTGTCAAGTAATCCAAGATCAGCCGCTATCCATATATAGTACAATGCAAAAACAGTTTTCTGTGCCCGCCGTGTGTTTCTCACCATGTGGTCATATGAACTCGGATCATTTCAGAAGGAGCTGCTGACAGTCTCTGTGCCAGGACACCGTTCTGCCTTTCCCTCTTTCATCTCCTAATAAGCCAAACCACAGCAACACAGCTAAAATTAATAATGAGCAAATTGCCTGAGTTTAATTGTCAAGTCATTCTGTAACAGCACAATATATCAATTTCACAATGAGTGATAGATGAAAAGGTGAAACGTGTTTATCAGTCAACCATGAACAAGTCTGTATCAGAGTTAATCAGCTCATGGGTAGTGTCAAAGCACTGTTAAGTGCTGTGAATTAAAAAGAGAACAAGGACCTTTTATTCTTCATTTAAATAGCTATTTTGGTTTTTTTGAATTATGAAACAGAGAGACACTCATCAAACAGTGTCTTCTATGTGTCAAGAACAACAGTTTCAATACTTGAAAAGATTAATGGATGTTTATCCTAGTCTATTTTTTTATTTTTCAGTTAAATCCTGTTATCAGCACAAACGTTTATGGGCATTAAAATATTTTTTGTGGTGGGGGGATTTTTTAGAAGCCACAGAATATAGTAAAAATAATATAACCCTGCACCCAAAATGTAAAAAATATGTAGCACACAGTAGCCCTTTAAGCCACGAAAAGAGTAAAGACATTATTTAAAATTTTGTAGCTCAATAAGCAAGTGTTGAGTTCCTCAACCATTCCAGGACAAGCACCTATAATAATAAAGAGGTAAATTCACTGTTGTATTTAAAGCATTGTTTGAAATTTCAATTATTTGAGGAAATCTCAACTTTAATGGTGTAAAGCTGCTTTTTGGTTTTACTCCTGAAAAGAGATGTAATGATTATACTGGTTGAGTTTTCCCAATGAACTCACATAATATACATATTAATATAAAAAATAAAAGCCATTAAATCTGTGCCTGCATGGTAGTGGTACCTTGACCACTACCTCACGACCTCACGAACGATAACAGTTTAGAAAACTCCAATTCTTTTTGCGAACTTTTGTTCCGCTCACTTGTAACTTATCTTATGTTTACAGGACGTTCACTACTTAAGTGTCTCTAAAACAAATAAGTGCTTTTCTTTGGAAATGTAATTACTTGCCTTTTGTATTGTAGTTTTCGTCTAAGGAATCGCAGCAAACTTTAAATACAGAAAAGGACCAGCTTCATGCACCACTGTAGTACAGCACCACCTGGGTGGCATACAGTAGCTGATTTTCTTTGTAATGCATTGGAATTACTGTAGCAGGTTCTTGCAAGATTGTAACAATTCTCTTTGGAAAGACATAAAAGATCACAAACAAGAATATACATCTGGACCAGCGATGCTGATATTCATCAATCCATGCATGACTGATCAACAGCCCTAGAATTTTCAAAGCCTCAATTCTTTTTGTCTTATTGACAAAATGAATTTTGAAGTCTCCTCTTGCTGGTCTGCATGGCGGAAAATGGGTTAGTTTCAGTGACAGTGTGGTACTGTAGCACAACAAACACATTATTAACAGTCAGTGCTGATCCTGCTTGTGTGTTGGATGAGCTAGGAGGCTGACCTCTTGCACTGATTTTATTGTGATTTAAAAATGCTTTTTTTACTTTTCCCTGGACATAGAACAAAACTATCTGAATTTGCTCTGGAGTGGTGGGCTGATCACATTACAGTACTAACTCCATCTGCTCAGCAACACCTGAATGTGGCAGCAGAAAAATAAAAAGTTCCTTAAAAAAATAAGTTAAAATACAAAATATCAAAAATTGGTTGGTTTGTTTGTTTGTTGCATTACTAGAGCAGGCCATTCACCATATCAACACTCCAGATTCTTTGATGTGTCTAAGGTGTTTATGTTGTGCTTGAGGTAAATGTCTGGGTTAAGTTTTGAGATTTTCTAATCATATTTTTGCCCGACTGTGAAAGTCTGAGTTCTTTTGAATATGATGAGGCTCAAATGCCTTTCCAGTGGATCTGGGCTGCTTCCAGAGCAGGGGTTTCACTAGTGCTGTGGCTGAAACAGATAACATTTGAACTCTTGATCAGTTTTAATAAGTTCTGTTTTCATGAACAGCTTGTGCTTGGCACTCTTTCCGGCAGCAGTCAATTGTTTCTGTTTTGTCTAAAGTGTGTGCAGATCCTCTTGCATGGGCCAACACGAGCAATTTCTTTTCAGAAACAGGAGTTCTTCATATTTCCTTGATGTTCACTCACAAAGGCCTGTTTGAGTTGGGAACACAGTTCAGCACAACGGCACACAGAGGAAAGTGAGACAGGAGAAGGCAAGGCCTACTGTTAAGCTGAAGGCACTCAGTATACCAAACCAGCATAAAAACCTTAGAAAACAAGACAGCTCAGTTTTTGTGATCAAGTGTTAACAGGTTTTTGTTGTCAGTAATTATATGTAAAACATGTGCACCAAAGAGAGAACAGAGCAATTACACAGTAAATAGTTTTCATGCTGAAAAAAAAGTGAAATTAACAAATACCTCTTTGTAACGCACAAGCCAGGGGTGTAACCAAGGATCACAACAACGAAGCTAATGACAGAATAATTCCAAACATACAATATTAGTCTTTGTCATATTATGCCTCTGCTGTCCTCATTAACAGTAAGGAACACAACCAGGCTGGGAATAGTAACAAGGGAAATATTTTTTTTTGATTGGATTAAATTATATTATAATACTACAACCGCAGAGAACTTTTATATGTATACTGTTTTAAATTATAAATAATACAACACAATCTAAAAATCACAAAAAGCACATTTTTGTACATTGCATAAGTATTTTTTTCCTGACTGTTGGTATTGCCAGTTATGTTTCTGTCTTCTGCTCTCCAAGTGCTGGAGTTTGGATGTGATCTAGTACGTTGTTGTGGTAGTGACCTCCGAACCTGCAAGTGAGGAGCGAAGGTTCACACACGCACGCCCCAGACTGTCCAAGCCACTCACCGCTTGAGCAGGGGCGTGTCTCTGTTGACCTGACTGAAAGCTCTTCGGTGCTGGACAGGCCTCAGGGCTGCTGTTTGTTGGCAAGCCCGCCCAACCTTTTGTGCATTTTCGACTGGGAAAGACCCGCTCAAGCCACATCACAGCGTCAGCGTTGGTTCTGAGAAACACCCTGACCGCAGTGTGTCTTAACCATTTTCATAATTATTTAATGTAATAATGGCTCAGACTAATTCCTCTTCTCATCCATCTTTTGCAGTCTATAGATTAAAGTGTACATTCCCCTTAAAAAGAATTGGGCCAGTGAAGTCTAAACTGTAAAATTC